GGGGGGGGCATATGAGGTTCTGAAGACACAATGCCATTTCTATGGGGTGCTTGCCCCAAAATGCGGAAACCTCGGTCCACGAGAGAACACCACAGAAACCCAGACAGACATCAGGCCCAATAACTAATCAATACTCTTCAAAAATTATTCGGGTGAGGAAAGACTGCTGCAGGCTGCAATCTAAGGCAACATGAAAACGAAATGTCATGTGGAAATCGAGAGAGAATCTGGGAATAAAAAAGGACATGGTTGAGAAATTGGTAAAATTAATAGCACTGTACCAACGTCAAATTCCCAGTTTTGATCATTAGTGATAGCATGTACTGCGTGAGGGATGGATGAGGGAACCCTGGTGCGGAGTGGCTTACACACTGGGTTGCTAACCACAGAGGCAGCAGTTTGAACCCACCATCCACTCCACGGGAGAAACACGAGGCTTACAGCCTGGGACGGCCACAAAGGAGCTCTCCCATGTGCCACAGGGCTGCGCGGAGTTGGAATTGACTCGGTGATGGTCATTGGGGGTGGGCATTAAGACATCAACAATCGGGCAGTGAGAGAGCTGTATGAAAACTACTATTTTTCTGACTTTGTTTTTGTAAGCCTAAATCGCAGCTCAAAATAACTCAAACCCACAAATCACAGCAAATCCTCCTGGAGAACACTTTTCAAAAGCTAGCTGAGGAGGGGAACTAATGGGGCTGATTATTCATTAAGGGAGAAGCAAAGGAGACCTAAGAGGCGGCTTCAAAGACGAAAGCAGACTGGCAGATTTACAATAGTGCCTCAAACCAGCTCAGGAGGCCCTTCTGAAGATCACAGACCAAAAAGTCCTTACCTAAAGGTTATCTTTTTTCACTTTAGGCATAAACAAAATCTTGGATAAATGTCAGCTTACCCCAGTGTAATCAATTTTCTTACAACCATTTACAAGTGACAATTAACATGCGGCTGTAAGAAAACAGAACTCTAGGGATGAGCACTGACTCGCTTCTCGATGAAGCTTGCACACAGTGACTTCTATGTGAGGACAGGTGGTCAGTGTGCGTACTGGGTGGACACAGCGGTGGCAGCAACGGGCTCAAGTGCGGGAACCACGGCGAGGGTGGCTGGCACAAGGAAGGGCTTGTTCTGGTGAACATGAGTTGCGGTGCTTGGAGCTAATCCGATGGCACCAAACAACACAACTACCACGACCCGGCGACCTCCTTGGTGACGCATGCACTGTTAGAAATGTGAGGCTGGGGGCTTAGCAGTGTTGACATAGTTGTTCAAAGAATCTATTGAAGAATTTTTTATAGAAAGGGAGAAGATGCATCAGAGAATTTCACACCCCCATGGTGAACCTGGATAAACCCCTGAAACGATTGCCCTGATAGACTCGCTAAACCCTAACACTTCAGAAATATCCCTACCGAACAACAATCTAAGCTGAACAAGCTTGATTTAAGAGGGCCTCGTTCGCTTTTGAGAACTATCAGCGCTCCAACTACATAAAGAACGTGGGGGCAGTGAGTCTATGTTAATGGTGAACAATTTGGAAAAGGAGGGGAGGGGGTGTTTCAAAAAGTCTGCAGCAAAATTCCATTACTTTTCAATTACATTTTTTTACAAAGTTTTGGAAGCTCCTCATGTAACTCGTGTCCAAATCCCAGTGACAGGCTTTTGAAATGGAAAATGGCCCCTCCTCCACCCCCAACAAGTGTTCCTGTCACATAATACTGCCCAAACCATAGGCTTTATCTTCTCCTCTTCCAAAGAGGGCCTCTTCCTTCTGTTGGGGGTTTGAGAGGAGGGGCACACATGGGACAATGGGGCACAGGGACTAGGTAAACATTTGCCACAAAAAAACAGCTTAGTGGTGATCATCTGGGTGGGGGGTGGGGGAGTTTGCAGAAGCATTTAGATTACATTTGTGATGGCCAAGCTAAAATAATTTCAGAAAATAAAGTTTTGAGGTCTATACTGAAGACTGGTTCAATTCCACTTTTAGACATTTCTGCCATCCCCCAATTAGGGATGCATTTAGGAAGAGAGTTTTACTTTTTGAAGCAGGAGGGATCTTGTGCTTGAGGGATTACCTAGAATAATCTCCTTGGTCACCAAAGGGGATGCACATTTGGGTTAAATCCCCTCTTAACTGGAAGCCTGCCCAGTAAACAACTGCTAATGGGCATGAAGGACGCCTATCACATGAAGAACAAACACTCCAAACCCAACCCGTTTCTTCTCCGAAGCCCATTCTGCAGAACACAGCACAGCTTGAAATGGGACTGGTGCCAGAAGAGATTTAGCGACTTTTCCAGGCCGCAGTCTTTATGCGAAACCTACGTGAAATAAGGTCGAAGCACTTTTTCTCCTCGGGGTTGGTCTTCACCTGACAGGTTAAAAGGTTGAGCTTCGCAGGAGGGCGGTTAGCCTGTTGAAAAAACAATAAAACAGAAGTCTGTGGGTGCAAAGGAAGGTAGGATCAGACAACATCTCCCTTCACTACACTAACTACACATTTTTTTTCACTTCTTTGCAAGGACCGCTTTTGCAAGTCCGATGGCTCTAAGGAGTCATGACAGAGCCACTCTGGGTTCTGCGGAGGCGAGGCCCTGTCTCTGCACAAGCAGCAAGCCACCAGCCAGGAGGGAAGGGTGAGGGAGGTGGCAGTGACCTCCCTGGGTCACAGGGGTCCTGAGATTCAGGCCCCAGCTCTGCTCCTGACCCTGGCGGTGTGCCGGGTGACCTGGTGAACGTGCAAGCGCGCTTTTAAGTGTAAGCACCTGCTTCAAGGGAAGGTCGTCTCAGAACCCATAAGTGGTGGAGAAAGTATTTCCCTGCTTTCCAAAGTGATGACAAATTAGACAGCCGCTGTCACGGAAGTTTCAACAGCACACACACTTCATTCACATACGACGTTACTCCCTTTCCACCTCCCACATGACGTTTACAAGCGATCACAGCACATTGGTCAGAATCAGTCAAAAGTGACCATTTTGTTGCAGTTTGAAAAGAAAAAAATATTAAAAATTAGTTTAAGAAAGCAAAAGGCAGAGAAGGTAAGAAAATAATCAAAGGGGGGGGGGTCTGAACAGTAAAATCTGAAAACAGTAAAAATCCCATAAAGTCTCTGAATATGAATGAGCACATCTTACCCACCTCCCAAGTAGCTCAATGAAAGATCCCACAAAAATGTCTGAAACATCAAGCTGCTCTTGTTCACCATTCTCCACGGCTTTCAGACACTGCCAGTGTGGGGGTGGCTTCCTCCAGGCTCTCACAGCCCTGGGAAGACCCTCAAGCACAGATTTGCCCCAGTCCCCCTTCAAAAAAGAGGTGGGTGTGAGGGAGGAAAGGAAGGTAGTGTCTTTTAACACTAGGATGATGAAGTGCTTCCTCTAAACTTCCACCCAAACTACAATAAAACGAAGCACGCACGGGAGTGACCGTGCAGTATGAACAAACTTGGGTTTGATAAAAGGAAGTCAGTCTGAGCAGATGTATGTCAGTGAGATTGAACTTGGCAGTGTGGATGAGTCTCCTCCTATGTAAGCCCGCCTGAACTGGCATCCAGTCAGTTCTGACTCTCAGGGCCCCACCTGCATCACGGCAGCACTGGACCCCATCGGTTTTCTAGGTAAAGTTCTGGAAGGAGATCACCTTCGGGCCTCTCTTCCAGGTTGTCTCTGGCTAGACGCGAACCAGGGGCCAAGTGTGTTAACCACTGGCAGCATGCCAGTCCTCCTCCCTGGAGAGACGTCCGAGGGATTCTCCAGCCTTTCAGCTTCTTCACAGAATTCTCCCTGTTTGTTCAGAAACTAGAAGATTCCGGAATTCCTGGACAGGCAGAATTAGAAGATTCCCACTTTCTGCTTAATCTGGTTGACCGTGACCGTTTCGAGTGAACACACCATAGATTTAAGATCCTTGCCAGTAGGATGACTTGACTCGCCCAGAACCAAGCGAAGAGAGGAAGCCCGATCCCTGTGTGCAACACGGGTGTGGGCCCGTGTGAAGGCCACGTCTCCCAGTGATCACACGACTCCGTGGGTGTCATCTTCAGGGAAGCTCCCAGTCTAAAGACAGGCTGCCGTACTCAGTCGCAGCTACAGAAACCAAAATAAACTCACCGCCATGGCACGGTGAGAAGGGCGTGTCTGAAAGAAGTCAGGCCACTCTGGGGTTCAGAAGCCCTTTCAGGGGCAAGAAGATGATCTTGACAAGTATTAGGAATCCCTGCACTTTGTGAGCGAGGACGATTAAGATGTGCTGATGGGAGCCAAGTGCTGCTCCCAGCAGTTTGCACCAAGTAATTAATTTTAATTTCCTTGACTGCCCTCTGAAGTAGGAACCACTCCCGTTTTCTAAAGAAACTGGCCGACAGACTAAAGAACGGGTCGAGGTCAGGTGGGCACAATGTGGGAGCAGGGAAGCTAGGATTCCATGAGGCAGGCTGGCTTCAGAGCCGAGCTCTTGCCCACCGGGTTCTACTGCCCTCCGCATGAAGACGTTGTGCCAGGCCGAGTGGCTTGCTCGGACTCAACTGTGAAGTCAAGTCACTGTCAGGCCAGCACACAAGCTCCACTGGCGTTGCTGCCACCCTTCCCCTTCTTCCTGTGCAGCCTGTAGTCCTCATTCCTCACTCGAGCGTGGGGAAGGCTGCTCAGCCCCTAGAGACAACCACTGCCCAGGCGCTGTTTTACTTCAGAGCACACCAGCGCTCCAAAATAGAGAAAAATTATTCCAAGCCTCGACTTGCCCTGGGACTGATGATCAAGGCATCTGTGGCTGCACATTACAAAACGCAGCACACTATCAAAAAATCAACAAAGGGGCCCACAAAACTGACAGCCTTCATCAGTATCAGCTTGTCTAAAATCCGCAGGAATAAACTGTCTGCTATTTGTTCAGATTAAGTTATCAATTGACAGCAAGGCTGTAAAAATTGTGGGTGAAAATCTTTAGAGAAAGAAAAATGCTATCCATTCAAAATGTTCTCCCTGCTATTTTGGGGGGGGGGGGGGAGGGGATGGTGTTGCCATTTAATTCAGCTGTAGAACCCTTAGTTGTACCTAATTCATCAGATTGTGTTTGACCCTCCCCCAACCTCATTTGAGAACCCTAAGTAAAACGTTCAGGAAGGGGGAGCTTTCTAGACTTCTCCTTTGCCGTGAAGTCGTGGACAACAGTGATTCTCCCACGTTGGTCACGTCAAACCAGCCCATCGGTCAGGCCTTTGGAAGCCCGTGTGCTTGCTCCCGTCTGCATGACGGATGCTCTCTCAGACAAGCCTTCGTTTGCTAAGAACCGGTGGACATGTCCAGCCTCACGCAGTCCGTCTTTGATGAGGTGGTCGTGCTATGAATTTGGCGAGGGGGATACCTAATAGAGTCATTTCGACCCAAGGATCACCTTTCCCAGCACCAGGAAACGCCACCAGCCTTGGCCACTGGGGACTGCCTCTCAGACATCCTCAGGACTCCGCTGCTGGAGGGAGACACCTAGCGATTTCAGTTTCCAAAGGCCGCCAGCTTCCCCTGGGAGACTTAACCTAAAAGTGTAAATGCCCCTTGGGGTTCCATCTCTTAAAGCCCCGACACCGTGTGTGCACCAGAGCCTGCCTGTGGACTCCCCTGACTTGGTCAAGCCTGTGAAAAACTACCCAGCAGGGCGCTGGCTGCCGGAGTGGAATCAAAGCAAAGCAAAGCATCTCTCAGCCCTCTCTTGGCACAGTGCCACCGCGGTCACACTGTGTGCTGACGCAGGGACACGGAGAGGGCTGTGGGCTTCTGGTTTGAAGAAGCGTATGCAGAACAGAGGAGCAACAGAATGTCTGTTCCCTCAAAAAAACGACAAAGGAGACCTGCTATGTGGACCTACTCATTTTCCTGGCAGGACAGTGGTGGGGGTGATGGTTGCTGGGCAGTCCCCACCTGCCACCCCTTCAGGCCATCATGGGCAGTGGCTGCTTCTGGGAGAGTCTCCTGCCCAGGTGGCTCAAGGCAGAGAGGGGATTCCCAAGAGAGGGTTTCCACCCGCCCTTGCTAAGCATGCAGCTGTCTGACAGGCTGAGTTGCTGGCACCCTTGAGAAGCTAGTTACAGCTGCACCATCTGCCCACCAAAACCAGGAAGAGAACCAAGAGCCTGTCTCTCGAGAGGGAGCTCTCCCGATGGAAGGGGCGCAAGGCAGCGTAGATGCCATCAGCAGAGGACAACGGGACCTGTTTTCAGTTCTGCCATGGAGGCAGGGACACCTAGAGGCTAAGCTGAGGCTCTGGGTCCAGAAAACAAAATGCAAACCCACAGGCAATTCTGACTCGCAGTGACTCTACACAACGGAGCAGAGGGTCCCACAGGGTCTCCAGGGCTGTAAGGACCACTCTGTAAGGACCACTCACGGAGCGGCTGGTGGGTTTGCATCAGCCAACGTTCAACTAGCAGCCAAGAGCTGCACCCTGCACACCCTGGGTCTTGGGGCGCGCACTTAAATGAGGCAAAGACACCGACGACCTTGGTGCGTCCGCTGCTGGCTAAGCTGGAGAGGAAAGTCACCCTGTTTAGTGACCTCCTCTGCGCTAGGCAGAAACTAATCACCCAAAAGGAAACCAATGGGAGAGCAAACCTCAGAATGGCAAGCGCTGGGGAGCAAGAACTCCCATCCAGCCCAACGCTCTCGGGTCAAAGTGGAAAAACAGCTCCATGGCTCTGCTTCCCAGTGTGCAGCACCCACGCTGACACGAACACACCTCCCCAGGGAGAACCCTGCCGCCAGACCCCAGTGGCATGGCCCCCGGAAAGAGAGATGAGGACCTGGATTTGCCCGACCCAGACCGTCCTCAGAGTCCCATGCGCTATCCTTGAGAGACGCTCACGGCCACGCGCCCAGAGACCCCGCCCACCACAGCCATCTCCTGTGGGTCTCCACCACGGTGACTGTGGACGGAGTAGTTTAACTTACCTTACATGCATATTAAAAGTCAGGGGCTGGGCCAGTCAGTGCGGCTCCTGGCCACTCAGTAGGGTTTCCCGGGGCCTGCCTTTCTTCTGAGGCTCCTCTGGGTATAAACCATACACACCACCCGGGAGTCCCCCAACACACACACACACACACACACACACACACACACACACACACACAGGCTCACCATAACAAAGGCAAGTTAAAGACAATACTTACAGTCCCGTGGGATATGGTCAGAAACCCATTTTTAACGGAACATTTCCTTTTCTGCCACACTTTCCGGATCCTTGTAGACCAAGAACAAGAGAAGTTCAGATTCTGGACACATGGGTGAGAAACGCATCATCTGCACCCGCTCGCTCACACGCACACGTACCCGTCGCTCTTCTTGTAGAGGCTGCCGCTCCGCTCCGTCCCATGCTCCTTGTTCCCCTGGGGCTGGTGTAAGCTATAGGCCGCCCCCTGGCGGATCTGGGAATCCTGGAACAAGGAAGAAGCGAGTTTACATTCTGCCCTGATCCCAATAAGGAAACACCTGTCTCCAACTAACAGCGTGGATAAACCGTTCCTCCTTCTCACCACACCAGAAAGGCTCCTAAGATTCATAGCCCAAACCAACAGATGCCGTTTTTTAGGGTGGAGGGAGAAGTACCAAAAACAAGTGTCCCCAAACTGGCCTGAAGAAAGAGCCACCTGTTCAGTGGCCAAGCACTACTCCATCATGAGCCTGAAGTCCCTGATGATAGCAAGAGGCAAAACCAGCCCTCAAGAAGGCAGACAACGGGTTTGTGTGCAAAGAACCCCACGCTCTAACCACAGGCAGGTTCCTAAAACCCCCTGCTTCCGTTTCCCCAGTTGTCAAAGAGGCATGAATGACTCTGTAGGGATGAGTAAGGTCAGAGATGCATAAATACCTGTTCAACGGCAGGCATGCAACACTCCTGGTCTCCGCCAGGGGGAGAGGGCTGGGCGCTGACCCTCTACCTCAGATCACGGACCAGGAAGAGCCTGTCTCACAAAAGCTCTTCCCCTCGGCCACTGAGAACCCGACCGCATGCCTACACGGCACGCTCCAACCTGTAACTTCCGCTGACAATGCTGTCCAAGAATTCCCGGTGCTCAGCTGACAAATGTGCCTAGAAGTCCTGAGCCCGGGAAGAGCAGGCTACTGGTGCAAGCCGCTGGAGACCCCAGCAGGAGCAGCAAGATGGGGACAGGGACTTACTTCACAGGTAAAGGTTGCGTGAGCACGGCCCTAACGCTTCACGGAGATCCTCCAACCCAGCTGGCTTCATCACGAAGCAGAGGAGACACCATGACACTGAGCTCGTTCCAGCCAGGGCAGAGCGGACTGCAGTGCCTCCCGTTCTAGCGCCTTCCATTCGACCGCGCTGCCCCGAAGACCAACACAGCTACATCTCTACCACCAAGAAACCGCCCATCCTAGGGGAGAGTGGACCCCTGCCCCGACACTGAAAGAGCTAACACGTGAACGCCAACGTGATTCCGATACAGAACCTGTGGAGTGACGGATCACACGGGGAAGTCCCGGGAGTGTGGGAGCAACGTGTTTCATGGCAGCAGACAGGACTTGGAAGGCCCAGGAGAGGAGCATGTCAGACAGGGAGAGGGGAGGAGAAAGCTGTGGTGGCTGACTGGGTTGGTTCAAACAGAAGGTTCCCCAGAGAATAAGGAGAAACTACTGTGGCTGAGATAAAGGGGGGCAGGCCATAGGACAGCCAGGCTAGGGTCATCAGGATTCAGACCTGGTTTCAAAACGACAGTGAGCCACTTGCTCTTGACAGTTTAGGGGCAAAAAACCCAACAACATTCCAAGCAAAAGCTACGCAGATGGAGAATTACCCTAAGACGATAGCAGAGCCTGGAGAAGCAAAGAGAAGGCGGTATGGACAATCCGTTCCCAAGGTACCAATCTTAGTACGGTTCCGGGTTATCTTCTGAAGCCACAGATTTCCATCTGGAGCCATCGGCCAGCAGCCTGGGAAAAGGCTCATCGTTTTTCACTTATCAGCTGTTCCGTGTACCGGTGGGGCTGGTACGAGGTGCTAAAGAACCACACCGGAGGAGAATGGGAAAGTCTGGTGAAGCACTCAAGTTCAAAGGGGTACAAAGAAGCCAAGCCCACTGCCACTGGATCCATTCTGACTCACGAGCACCTGGAAAGGGTCTCCAAGGCTGCGCACTGCCGAGGGGGCAGATGGTCTGCTCTTTTCCCCAGGGACCTGCCTGCCAACTGCGACGGTGGCCATCCAACGCTTATCTTGTGGCGCCACCAAGCTCTACTAGGGGAGTGCTGACATGTGGTGGAGATGCGACCAATGTCCTAGAGCGATCCATGAATTAACTACAGAACAAGAAGCCGACAGACCCTTTTTTAAGGAATGGGTTGACTGTGAAGGTCTTCGGTGTTTATTTTTGAGCCCTCAGTTCCACCTCACTGATTTGTGGCTGTTCTTGCACCATGCTGTCTTATTGACGTGATTTTTAGAGCAGAGAGTTTGTGTCTTCCAACTTGGTTCTTTTTGAAGACTGTGTTAACGATCTTGGGTCGTCTTCATTGCCACATGAATTTTTTGATATTTGTCGATTTCCATAAAAAGGCAGCTGGGCATTTTGGCAGCGGTTGCATGGAACCTGGGGATCATGGGGAGTCTCACTTAACCTAAACAATACTCAGTCGTCTGATCCATGCACATGGGCTATCCAGCTCTGACTTCAAGCTCTGTCAGATACAGCAGAGACCAAGAAGCCCTTCTACCGAACAGCCAGCTGTGTGCAGAGACCATCTGTGATTAAACTGACAACAGGCCCAAGTAAGAGGACACACAACGGGGACCGGCACAGCCTCTCTTCCACCAAGAGTTCCCTTATGATCTGTGCCTCTGGACAACCACGGGACGAGAAGTGTCCCACATCCACATGCTCCCAAAATGGCAGCATGTCAGCAGAAGAAACTCACTGATGCCATCCTAAACTAGGCATACCTGTAGCCAGGAGAGTTAAGCGGGGAAACACTGCTCACCTACATGCACCTCCACGAATGACTCCAAAGAAACCTGTCCAACGACTGAACTGCACAACCACGAAGTCAGTCTGTTGGTCTAGAAAGGAAAATTCCGGCATAAAGTGGGCAGTGGAATCATGTGGCAGGTCTGCTAACAGTGTCCAAGCCAGGTGTGTTGATCAGAATGGAATACGGGTCGCACAGACATTCACCTTCTCAACAGTCAGATCCAACGCCAAAAGTCAAGGAAGAAATCATCTGTCTACTCATTTTCTTCAACCTGGTTTTTCCTTAAATCATTTTCCTTTTCATTGTAAGCTAATCTGAACCCAAGACACTGCAAAATTAGAAGTGTTTAAGGGAAAGGAATGTCCTTTTCAACCTAAAATTGAGCCTGCCTTGGAACTAGCTATTTCCGCATTCTCTGGGTGAACAGGAGAACAGCCCCCCGAATCACCGTGTGAAGCGGCTGATCCAGTGAAGATGGGGAGATGAATGAGACCAGCCCTTTCACAGGACCAGCCAGCCCTTCCCTCAGCATCTTTGATTGTTGGGACAGTGCAACAGAAATGAACAATCTAACAAGTGGCCCGATCTGGACACAGGACCTTGCTTTTTGAAGATTCTCCAATGCACTCTGCCGGTGCCCGGGGACGAGGACAACCGAAGGCTGGACCGAGACTCCTTACCGCGCCATGTGGAGAGAGGGTGCGCAAGTGCGCAGGCGACTGATGGGACCTCGGGAGCTCTCCTCAGAGTCTAACCACAGCCACAGAGCCACTGTCTGATGACATCCTGAGAAGTTCTTAGGTCCCTGCCACTATTCATGACTTTGGTTTGGTACGGGGTGACAGTGTTGTGTGCCACCTTGGCCAGGCTCAGAGGTGGAAAAGCCTAAATCTGCGAGAACGGGGGAAGGGGCAGCATTGCATGTGTTACTGATATGCGTGAGTGAACTGCTTCGTTTTTCTCACTGAGTGAGTGAGACTCAGAGCTCTGAAGCTAAGGTTCCAAAGGATGGCCCAGGATGGCGCGTCATGTGGGCAGGATACTGTCAACAACAGCAACGACACCTCCTCTGTCCCACACGAAGAATGCAAACGCCCTGAGAGTGGGGGGCCTTGTCCCCTTTGTTTACTGCTCTGTCTTCAGCCTCTGCCGCTGGTGGGTGTGGCTGAGTTGGCCCGGACACACAGTGGCCTATGGACCACAGAACCCAACACTGCCTGCTGTTGCAGCCTCTAGACCAGCGGTTCTAAACTGTGAGTCACGACCCCTTTGGGGGGTCAAACGACCCTTTCACAGGGGTCACCCAATTCATAATAGTAGCAAAATGACAGTGATAAAGTAGCAACGAAAATAATTTTATGGTTGGGGCGTCGCCACCACTTGAGGAACTGTATTAAAAGGATGCGGCATTAGGAAGGCTGAGAACCCCTGTTCTAGACCCTTCAGCATCTCTGAGCGCAACATCCATTGGAAGAATGAACGAGCAATGTCTACTTATCAGAATCACGGGCCAAGGGCCGTACGGAAACACTCTCTCAGGTCTCACAAACCTGTCTGGTCTAGGCAATATTGTTCCTATTTTGCATATAAAGAGACCAGAGCTCCCTGGGCTCAGAGAAGTCAAGCCATCAGCCCAATGCCATCCTGGTAGGAAGTAGAAGATTTGGGACCAAAATGACCAAGAACCATGCTTTTCTGCTCAGCTAGATGGATTCCCAGGCAAACCTTATGTCCTGGTCAGAACTTGGTCCAGTATCTCTACCTGCTACAAGCCCTGCTCTTAATTATCCTCCAACTCTCAGCTCAGGCACCATGGTTTCTGGGAAATCATTCCTGCACACTTCTGCTATGCTCATTCTAGGGGGACCTCATCATCCTGTATCCTCAACTACTCCCCTGTCCTCACCCCTCAACGTGTGCCCCCTGCGAGGGGAGAAGTACATTCATCCAAGTTGTGTGTGTGTGTATGCATGTATTATGTACATGTGTGTGTTTATATGTGTATATGCATGCGTGTGCAGAGTCTGACCTAAAGTCACTGCTGAGAAAATGACAGCCCCATGCAGGTCAAGCAACAAGTTTTCTAGAGTCAGAAACGAAGGCTAGGGTTAGGTTAGCCAGCAGCCACGCAGGAGAGGCAGGGAGGTGGACCCCAGGCCAGGGGCAACAACTTGGTTTCTGAATGACTCAGATTGGGTCATTACAAGACATGTCAATGCAAGCCAGAAAAAGGCACCGTGGTTTCAGTACTGAGGACGTGACCAATACGCTAGAGCCTGAGTCCCACCCCCAGACGAGAACAGAAGTCTGGGCTCTCAGCATCAGACAGCAGAGACAACAGACCAGCCACGATGTGTGGGGAGGAGAAGGCAATGAATTGCAGAGGGCTCTGCCTGCCCAGCAGAACCCGTGAGAGCTGGATCCCGGGGGACAGGCAGGCGGAAGAAGGTTCAGGTGAAAGCTGGCGCAGGAAGGGAAAGGATCTTTGCAAAACTCAAAATTCTACAACAGACGGAGGAGGATCAGCAATCTGTTCAACCTTTCTGCAAGACTGAACACACGGACGACAGAACAGTCCAGCGGGTGTGTCCTCTCCACAAGACAGTGCCACTGTCGGCAACTGAGGTGTGAGGCTGCCGGGGGTCACGAGACCCCAGGGCCAGGTCAGAGAGTGACAAAGGGAAGCCGCCATGGCCAAGCTCTCCACTGAGACCAAGTGAACGACGTCTGAGAACGCCAGGAAGAACGTGAGGGGTCACGCTGCGGCTCCGGGGCACACTCCCTACCGTGTTAGGAATCGTGTCTCAGTGCCAGAGTGCTTCTATTGCGGAGGAAAACCATCAACAACGCTACTGCCGGGGCACACTCCCTACCGTGTTAGGAATCGTGTTTCAGTGCCAGAGTGCTTCTATTGCGGAGGAAAACCGTCAACAACACTGCTCGCTTTCTGAGTCAGAGGAGCCAGTCCAAGGAAGGGAAACAGAACCCAAGCAGCAGAGATGTCTAACTGTCAGATCCTTTCTAATGCAGGGAACACGAGAGAAAAGCCCGATCCAAAACCTGTTCACAGAAATCATGGAAAACCCGATTGGATATATTTGTTTATAACTTACCATTGTATTCATAAAGTGTCTAGTTTTTGGACTATGATGATCCAATGCCATGTAAAAAATAATACGAGGAAAATCCAGCACGTTCACAATGGTGAGATTGACGCATTAGGTCTTGGTGAGTAGCCAGCTGGGCAGAAAAGCCACGCAGAGCAGTAAAGGGGTCCATCTGACCCCTGTGCATAATCTAGGGAGGACGGCTGGCCAATAATAGCAACCAGAACAGCAGCCAACCATTAATGATCTCTGGCCTGTGCTGGTGAGCATTTTCTACCTTCCTGCAAAGCGGTATGTAACCAGCTCCGGCAGCAGCCAGTTTCCCCGAACTTCCTCCCTCTGCACAGCCGAAGCAAACCGTGCCCTGTTCCCAGAGAGCTACTAAATGCTCACGTTTGCTTCCCTTACTTAGACCTGGAGCGCTGCTTCTCCAGCTACATTCTCCTTCCAGGACAAAGTGGCCCTCCACCATGACCCATCAATGGACTGGAGGCCACTATCTTGCAAACCCAGCACTACCTCTTCTAACTGACAGTAGGCCACCATCTTCTCCATATTCCAACTTATTTTCCCTTTTCTCTGCTCATATTCTGCGTGGGAATATCAAATCCACCAAGACCCATGTTCTCTGAAGAAGCTAATGAGTTGTGGGCCTTGTTGCGCCCCCCAGGTAACTCCATCAGCCAGTCCTTCACCTCGCTGGCCCATGCTTTCCAGGAGTCCCCTAAGCGAGAGTGCTGGTCAGGCAATGTGAGAGGCAGGGAGGAGGGTGGGCACAGAAGGCGAAGGGCACCCTCAGGTTACTCAGAGTGGGCTGGAGAAAAGGCATCTGCACACTGGCAGGGGGCAGGAATGCACCAAGCAAGGGACTGTGATGGAACAAGTCTGTTTCAATGGAACGTGCGAAATGAACCCATACCATTCGGGATGGGGTGACAGGGAGGTGTAAGATGGACCAGGGGATGTGTGGAAGTCAACCATGCAGTGAAGAGGAGGGAGCAAGATGCTTCATCTTCACAAAGGAGTAACCATGAAGGCATGAATGGTCAACATGGAAAATTTTGACTTTGCTATTATTTTCACATTGAAATCTTAAGTCTTCAATAAACTGTGATACTGAAAGATTAAAATCAAAAACACTGTAAGTCATTAATATATGAAGAAGAAACATCTATTTTCTATGTTTATGAAGAGAGCATGCAAAATTCTACAATTTATTGAAATATGAACTACTTACTCTCCTAGACTTCGGTCACAAAAGGTAAGTGCATTTGGAAGAAAAACAACATATTCAGTTATAGTATAAGAACTTGAAACAAAGTAGAGCATTCCAAAATGCCAAGAGTGAATTTTATGCTCTGCTAAATAGTTTAATAGCTCTTTTTTTTTAATCGACTAGCTACACCATCAGATATGCTTTTACTAACAAGGAGGTCGATTTACCGGTATGTCTTAATATCCAATTTATAATACTAATACTGTAAGTAACATCGTAAAATGAGCTAAAAAATTGACCTTATAATTACATTTGTTTTTTAATGAGCTCAAAATACATGAAGTATCACTGTTGATTACTAGCACAGAACCCATTACATAAGAGATACAAAAATGACAACAACAAAAAAACCCACTAAGATTTTTCAGAAAGACGGTGTAAGAAAACTCAAGTCTATACAACCTCGGGGCCAGAGAGACTCTAATGGCCACCTGTGATGTGTCTTATGCCCAACTGGACAGAGTCCACATCCATCAGACCAGAAAGTCCCAGGAGCAAAGGGGCATAAACAACAAGGGCTCCCAGGGACAGACACCAAGAGCTCCCATGTTTTTATACAAGTCACAAACTGTATCCGGGCGAGGGCTCGGGGTGGGGCAACAGTGGGCTCTCATGCTTGTTTCCGGTGTGCACTGTATGTGTGTACGCGTCATTTCCACGGGCGCATGATATGCGAAAAATACAGTGCTCAGCTACCAGCTGATAGAGCAAAAGGCTTATCCACAGCTTCTCACAGGGACCAGAGTTACCCGGAAAGCTGGTGTTATAAAACCCAGAGTGAATTATAAATACCTAAACAATGTGGTTTTACCGTCTTTTTTTTTAATAATAATTTTATTGGGGGCTCGTACAACTCATCACAATCCGTCCATCGAAATGAATCAGAATTTCTCTGCTCTTAAGCCTGCTGAGACCTGTGTGTAAAGCAAGGACTCTTTCTCATTTAAATCCCCTCACCTCCTTCTGTTCCACTTGCAACGCTGATTTCAAAATGTCTCGAAGCTGTATCAATTGCCTTCTTTCTTCATCCTGGGCTTGTTTGATCTTCAGAAATAAACCAAACAAAAGTGAGAAACACACGACCAGGTCACAACAACAGGGTAGTACACAGACATGCAGTAACTCCTTCCCCAGCGTAAACTGTTTATGAACGGGAACTTCCCACCAGGCTCGGTGATTCGTTCCCAGGTAGCACCGCACGCAAGCACAGGGTTAAACAAAGCAACAGACAACTGAAAGAACGCTGCTTCGACACCGACGGGGGGGGGGGGGGGGGGGGGGGGGGGGGGAGGGGAGCTACGTACTGTATGAAGATCTGTTGAGAGTGTTTCTATGGACGGTTTGATGCTTTCAACGGCTTTCAACCCATCCTGGAAAAAACTAGGGCAGGGGAAAAAATGAGTAAGAAACATCTATTATGCTTCATTAGAGAGGAAACAGTTTTGTTAGGTGAGGCAAAACCAAAAGCCTTCTTCAAAGAAAGCTGGAGTGATGACTTAATTCCTCGGGGGAAAGGCAGCCTGGACAGAAGGTGCAAGTACCGGGCAAACCGAGAGTAAGGTGAGAGTTAGGAGAAGGGGACTGAAGTTTGTCTGAGCACGGCGAGCCTTGTTGTGATGCCCCCAAAGCTGAGCGTGTGATGAGACAGCAGTCTCCTGCTGCACGGCAGTGAGGTCTCACAGGCGTGTGGGGAATGAAAACAAGGAGTAGGACACGACGGACTGTTCTCAAGAGAAACAAGGAAGAAGGCAGGAGAAGGCAGCGACAGTTGGTGTACATGGGTGGCATGCTGCTTGCAGAGCATGAGATGAGTATCAAAATGTATCTATGTTAGCCCCCCACCCCACCCCAGCTCGGAACTCAATGTGGGTGAAGTCATGGATCACAGGCGATTTGGGAAATACAAACAGTGCCGGAAGCTAGACAAGTTTCTGGGCTCAAGGCCCCTGAAGTTTGCTTCACCTAACTCTTGGGGAAGAATGAAGAAAGGTCACACCCTAGCACTGAAGCTCAAGCGCGGCACCTGTGCCCATGTGATCTGGGCCCTGCCCAGTGCTCCAGCTTCAGCCCAAACATCAGCTCACTCACTGGATGCCAGGCCCCTGGCTCCTCTGGCTTCTTCCATAAACCACCTAATTTCATGCACCAGACCCCTTGCATGTGCTGTTTGCTGTGTCTCCCTGAAGCACCTTCATCTCACCTGGCTGGTTCCTATACCCCCCCCACCCCCCACCCCTCCACCCCCGTCAAGTGTCCCCTCTTTCAATGTCAGCTCCTTTTCGAAGCCTCCCATGACCCCTACTTTCTGAGCACTGAGTTCTTCCTCAAAAACCTTAGACAAATGGCAACGATGTATCCATTGGGGTGGCTATTGAAAATGTAACTCTTCCATGAGATGTTAAATTCCAACTTCACACCAGAGTTAAGGACAAGGCACCTACAAAGCCCAGCCCATTCTAGTGGTTGCATTTCAAAAGGTGACCAGGGCTTCCCAGGTGTTCACATGTGAGGCACTTCTTTTTTAAACGACACACAGGGCCCTTTGTGGGACTTTCCAGACACCCAGTGACACAAGCAGGCTGTGAGGTTTCAATTCGATCATTCTAGGGAGGAGGAAGGGGGAGCATGCACATGCATACAGGGTCTGGGTTCTGAACCTTCACGGAGGAGACACGGTCTGAGGTATTAGAATTTTCTTACTGACACACATGCTGTAGCACATACTGTGGTTTATGCTGTGAATCCTGCTATCTCACCCAGCTCTCTTATTCCTCAATACAGACTATGCTGTGGCTTGGCCATTCCTGGGAGTGTTATGGTCATTTACCCACGTCTCACTCCACGGTTAAAAAAAATTTTTTTTAAGCAAAAGAAAAATCCCCAACTCACTGCCAACAAGTCAACCCTGACCCCTGAGGTCTCCGAGACTGGAACTCTTCATGGGACTAGAAAGCCTTAGCTTTCCCTCGCAGAGCAGCTAGCGGTTTGAACTGTTAACCTGGATGTAAGCAGCTCACTGTGTAACTAGGACACCGCCAGGGCTCCACTGTAAGACGAGGCTGAGAAGTGCTGTCAGACTCCTGTACGCCCCCTGCCGGGGGCACCCTTGTAAACGGAGATGGTCCGAGAGGGTGAACGGGAAGGAGAGCTACCATTCTCCTCTCCTCAAGGGTTCTTTTGGTGTCTGGTTTTATTCACGCTTTTCTTTACATCAGTTACTTAATCCTTTCAAATTCGTGTAAGAGCTGATGGGAAAAGTAAGAGAGGCGGCAGAGAGCGAGAACAGAGGCCGTTCTAGGGCAGTGGCCTGCAAAGCAAGGGGCTGGGGGACGTGGGGGGTGGGGGAGTACAGGATCCCTGCACCATGGCCCTCCTCAGTTCCTCAGTACGAATGCTGGGAAAACTTAAGTGGAACCCATCCATAGATCAATGGCATTTCCCCAAGCTTCAAGGATTTCACCCAACATCACACTTTATTGTTTAGGGCATTTTCTATTCCACGCGACCAAATTCTCAAGTCCTTAAAAACGTAGCCTGTTGCCATTGATTTGCTTCATGCACGTGTGCGGTGGACCCATGTGTTTCGGAGTAAGGTGTTGCACCGGCCATCGGCAGAAACAGATGGCTGGGCCTTCTTCTGCGGATTTGAACCATCCACCTTTCAGTTAGTGGCTGAGTGCAAACTGTGCCATCCACAGACCTTTAAAATGTCAAGTTCCTGAGCGGCACACAAAAGGTTTGTTCTCACAGCTACTAACCGAAAAGTTGGCAGTTCAATCCCACCCAGCAGCAGCACAGAGGAAGAAAGGCCTGGTGCACGGCTTCCATCAAGATCCGAGCCAAGAACCCCCAACGGAGCAGTTCTGCTCTGCCACGCACAGAGTAGGTGCTACCCTGAGCTGGAGTCTACTCAAATGCAATGGCTTGAGGTCTCTTCTAAAGTCATACTTCAACCCCCAGGAAGACTCCATCCCAGAGAGAGAGAGAGAGAGAGAGAGAAAGAGAGGTGGTCTGTCTGGCTCTGGGCTCCCATGACACCTCGTCCAGTGCTTTGACAGCCTTTATGACATCACACTATACTTGCACCTGCTGACTACGCTGCCTGTCTGCACCCTGCCCCACCCTCTCACCACAGGAAGCTTCCCCAGGGCAGCTGAGACTTGTCTTCTTCCACTCTGAATCCCAGTTCATCAAGCAGCCACAGCTCAATGCCTCCAACAGGCATTTGATTTTCTCAAAGAACCAACAGAGTCAACATAACACATACGCTCATGACTGCCTTTTGCTTATTTATTTCTGTTTTAAATTTTTTCTTCAAACCAAAGAAAAGACACACAGGAAGTATTCTTCAAGACCACTTAAGGGGCAGCCGTGGGGAAAAGAAACACAGGACACACTGGAGGCGCATCGACACGAAGCCAGTTCAGGAGGCGAGTTACCGCTGATGTCCGCTGGACCTCGGCTCAAAGCAGAGCACACCAAGCAAGTTTACCGGTGCTTCATTGACTATGCCAAGATATTAGGCCGCACGGATTTCAACAAATTACAGATACTTAATTGTGCACATGGAAACCTATATACCGATGGTACAGAGTAAGGGATATTTCATGATTTAACATCAGGAGAGGTGTTTCCAGGTTGTATCTTTTACCATCTTCCTTCCATCTGAAGGCTGAGCAAACATTCGGAGAAGTCAGGCTACATGGAGAACACAGAGTCGGCTGGATTCCTCCTCATTCACAACCTGGGACACAACCTGGGCCCAACCTTATCCACTGAGAGTGAGGAGAACCTGAGACACCCGACAAGGGTCAGAGACCAGTCTTCAGTGTGGGTTCATTCAATAGTGTAAAGGACACAAAAATCCTCACAGCGGATCCAAAGGCAACACACCATGACAGAGGAAATGTGGAAGCTGTCTGTCCAGCATTCCCTTTGTCTTGGACCCACCATCAAGACCTATGGAAGCTGCAGCTCAGAAATCAAACTTCACACTGCACCGAGCAAATCCTGCAAGCAGCAAAAGACCTCTGGTGACGTGTGAAGACGCCACGGCGGTGCCGCTTTGAGGGCTGAGGCGCACCCAATCCAAGCCGCCGAGTCTTCAGTCACCTCCAGCGCAGCGGACACTGGACAAGGGACACAGAAGACCGAGGAACGCTGATGAAAGTAACGAATGGGCCACAGAGAAATGAACGCAGCACCCTGGGGAGAGGGCAGTCCGAAGGACCCTGGGACGAGGATGGAGAGGCTGGCCCTTGGGTGCTTTGGGCATGTTCCCAGGAAGGACAGGATGCTCAGTGAGGCAGGGGGTCAACAAAGAGGACGACGCTCAACGAGATGGACTGCAAAGGTTATAAAAAATGGGCTCAAACTTGGCACCAACTGGGAGGACGGCATAGGACCGGGTAGTTTTGTTTGGGTTTTGGGGACACAGGCTCGCTATGACTTTGACAGCACCAAATAAACAACGTGGTTCGGGCGGCCCCTGGTTGCAAACTGGTCCACATGCTCGGCTGTTAACCAAAAGCTTGAGAGGTTCGGATTCATCCAGAAATGCTTCAGAAACGAGTCTGGGGGACAGGGACAATCCGCCATTGAAAACCCTGTGAAGCGCAGTTCTATACTGACACACTGGGGCCCAGGCAGAAGGAACTAGACAGTAACTGGAAGAGGAGGCAGTTCGTTCAATACCCAAGCACAGGGTCTTCACAACGATAAAGGCATGCCTCCGCTCAGCGGGGCGCATCAGGCAAAAGTGTGCTTCCAGAGGAGACGTGGAGGCTGGGAATGTTAAACCTGGGAAAGCCAAGGAGCACTCTGAGTGCAGACAGAGGCCGGGCACAAGCTTTCCGTCTAGGAGCCCCTCAGCCTCCATGGTTTCTCCCAGAGCATAGCAATGAAAGGGTCCACGCCGGCCAAAGATTGTGAAGGGCATGCAACGTATGCGTTCTCACTCATCAAAATAGGAAGTAATTGGAAGTCTCCATTGTAAAAGGTTACCGAGCTCATGCCCATAAAAGGTCAACTATTTCACTCTTCCACACGAGGTCTGTTGCTACCCAACTAATCAGTTTGGGCAAAATAAAGGAGGGGGAAAAAAAGGAAATCCTAGAATAGCATCTTAGAATCTATCAGCAAGGAAGCAGCTCACTTCCTAAATTGCCTCCCGTAAGGCTACAAGGATAGGAACTGAAGCAGCACTGTGCACATTCCTCACAAAGTCAGGGCTGTGACTCCCTGTGGAATAATCCCTCGGATAGTCTACAAACCAGGGTCCCATCCCCCTGCCACTGCCTAGGGCTGTCCCCCCAGCTCGGAGCTCTGCGTTTAACCTAGGATGAATCACACAGCACTTCTTCCTGGGCTGCTTGACTCCAACTGCTTTAAACTCACAAGGCCATCAGAGATGGGTTACGAATTCCAAATCAGTTTCATTCAGATGGCCATCTGTGCTCAACAGCCCACTGACCAGCCAAAAGGTGGTGGGGAAATGCACCGTGCATTGCTGCTGCTGTTGATAGGTCCCAACTCACACAGACCCGTGCACCACCGAATGAAACGCTGCCCGGTCCTGGGCCCTCCTCACTGTTGCAGGCAGTCCATCCCGCTCGTCGGGGGTCCTCCTCTTCCTGGTCGACCTTCTCCCTTTCCAAGCACGATGTCCTTCTCCAGACTACACGCTCCTGATAGCGCCCAAAGGGCAGAGGGCAAGGTCTCACTGTTCTTGCTTCCTCCTTCCACCACGGACTTGTTTGGTCTGCTCCATATTCTTCGCCAGCACCATACCGCAACGCAGCGAGTCTGTTTGCTTTCCCGTGGTCAGTGCCCAACGTTCACATGCACTTGAAGCTGTCTGCTCTTGTAAAGACTTAGTCTCTGGGACCCTCTTTCAGCATCACTGTGAGTTAAAATGGACTGGACGTTGTGGGGTTGGTCAGCAAATCTAGCTCCCTTCATTAAGTGCCTGGAGGTAGCCCACTCTGCAAGTGAGCCTCTGACCGGAGGGCATGTAGCTTCCTCCCCACCAGTGAGCTGGAAAGGCCGCCCCTCTGCTGCTGTGCTTCTCAGGGTCTCAGCAGCCCTCTGCCACCCAGACAAAGGTGCATTACAGTCCAGGGACCTCAGGGACCAAAGGACATGTCCCACTCCTGGTTTTCCCTTTTTACTGAGGGTGAGACCCCTCCCCCTGCTCCTGCTTCTGTGATGACTCAGTTTATTCCCAGCAGGAGGCAAAACGAGTCAATCGCCATGTCAGAGCTCATGCACCCTCACCCTCTCTGTAGGACTTCCACACAGCCACTGGGTGGGCATTACCAAGATGGCCAAAGAGTCACATCTAGTGGTTCCCTGCACAGCACCCGGTTAAGACAGCAATGGGGGCAGTGTCTCAACGTTTCTGTTACCACTACTTTCTGTCTTAGCACCCCCAACCCCAAAACACACACAGAGCCACGCTAATGACCCAAAACTATTTTACATCTTGATTCATGTGCTTGGGACAAAGCTGGGGCTTTCGACTGCCATCAACAGTTACCATCTGGGAAACCACAGGGGCTGCTATGAGTGGCACAGACCCGAGGCCAGACCCGAGTGTGGACTTTGGATTCACGTGCTTATCATCTATCTCCCTTATCACAGAACTCAAGGACCAGAGCTTCAAGGAGTGCCTGGCACATAGCAGGAGCTCATCTGTGCATGGAATCAATGTGGTGCTTACAACTTTTCAAGAGCTTCCCAACCCGTTTAGAATAAAAGGTAACACCTAGCCCAGGGCCAGAGAGACAGCACACACTCAGCAAAAGTGTGCCTGAGGAAGGAGGAAAGAAAGCCAGCCCGTTAACACTCATGAGTGGGTGCATGCCGGGGAAGAAGACACGGCTGTGCCGTCAGTGCCTGATTGCGAACACACATGGAAGGAGCCCCGGGGGTGCAGGTTAGCGCTCAGCGGCCACTCGAAAGGTCAGTGACTGGAACCCATCAATTGGTCTGCTGGAGAAAGACCCCCGCAGGGCCACATGGAGTTGTACCCACAAGATCAGCAGTTCACACCAACCAGTAGCCGCACAGGGGAAAGATGAGGCCGTTGACTCCCGAAATGACTGGAAGTCTCGGCCATCCGGAGGGGACCATTCTACTCTGTCGTCAGAATCTACCTGATGGCCATGAGCTCTACAGGGCCGCTGTGGGTCAGAATCTACCTGATGCCACAAGGACAAACATATGGTGGAAGCTTTGTGGCACAGGGTGAGGCGCTCAGCTACTCAACCACAGGGTGGCAGCTTGCACCACCCACCCAGCAGCCCTCTCACGTGGGGTAGCTAAGGACGGGAACTGATGTGGCACCCACGTCAGTGGATGATCCACGGTGAAGCTGAGCCTTGAGCGAGCCCTGAGTAAGTGAAGCTTCTCGTTCTAGTCTGCATACCACTGTCGCATCCTTTACTGGTCACCAGCATTTGCTTCATGGGGCGAAACACGATCTTTATTTGATGCAGCGCCACAGAACCATCCCATTTCTTTCTCTTTTTTTTCTTCAAAATCATCGTATCAGGAGCTAACACAGCCTATATTCCGCAGTTCAATCACCTCCGGCAGTACTGTACAACTGCTACCACAATCAGTTTCAAAACATTCTCTTCCTTCCTGAACTCCTTGACACCAGCTCCCTTTTTACCTCCCCCCGCCCCCGTACCCCTCAGAAACCCTTATTCTACTTGTTGTCCCTATAAGCTCATCAATCTTGGGTTTCATCTACGAAAAACATATTATCAATGATTCGAGAATATATTCAAAATATGATAAACCTCCATATGGAGAAAAAAAAGCACCCAGAAAATGTCAAAAATCAGATCAAGCCCAAAGTGTATCAGAGGGGGATCAAGTGACAAAGTCTTAACCATTCCAGTCAGGTTGATACACTTTGATCTCCTACAGTCATCTCTCCCACACTCTCTGCTTGGTAACCCGGTTTTTCTCATCCCTCCATTACGGTTAGAAGGAAATCACCAGAGGCATATTTCCTGTATAGACCTTGCAAATTATCGTGGGCTTCCACGGTCACCAACAGCCTTCTGCGAACCAGACGCTCACAATCCAAGCTCTCACTTCTTTTGAACAAACGAGAGAGAACACACGAGACAGCACTGGTCTGCTCTTGCAGAACACAAGCCGGCACTCAAGGGTTCCAGAGCTTGTGGGAAAATGACTGACTAGACCGTGGGATTCTCCCACTTTATAACGCCCTATGTCGTGTTTGACAACTGCTACAGACTAGGTGCGCATCCCATGCCCCCTAATATCTGCTGGAATCATAATCCCAATACCTGTGGCTGTAATCCCATTTGGGAACAAGGCTTCCTTTGTTATATTAATAAGGACAGATCAACATAGTGTGTGTCTTAAACTGAATGGCTTCAGAGATCTAAGGAGCAGATGTGAGAGAGAGAGAGAGAGAGAGAGAGAGAGGTGCCTCAATGGGGAAATCAGAGGCCACATGGAGGTGACCAGGGAACTAAGGACCACGGAGCCGCTGAGGCTGAGACAAGTATCTTTGTCCAGGGTCCGCAGAGAACCTTCCCCTGGAGGCAGACGTGGATTCGCAGCCTGCGCTTCCCTTTTCTGGAAACCCGGGCGAGCGTACAGTGTGTCTGTTGGAGCAGCAGGAAGGAATGACGACAGTAATGACTACATGCTTTCACAGTCGCAGCTTTATTTTTCAGTTGAGATATAATTCTCCTGCCACGACATTCACCCTTTTCAAGTATAAAAGCAGGGTCTTTTGCTTTATTCTCAAACTGTGGAACCATTACCACCATCTAATTTCAGAAGACTCTTATCACCCCAAAAGAAACCTCTGCACACATTAGCAGTCACTCCCCACCCCCTCCTCTCTGCAGCCTTGGCAACCACGCTGATGTGCTTCCTGTCCCTATGGAGCTGCCTATTCTGAGACTTCCACAGACATGAAATCACTCAGCCCATGGTCCTCTGTGCTCAACTCCTTCCCCTCAGCATAACCCTTTTAAGATTGAGCCTTAGTGTGCGATGTGTACTGGAACTTCATTTGGTGAGTGGGGGTGCTGCAGACTTCCCTTAATACTCTAGCTCTACCAGAAATATCCATGAAGGGAAAAACATTTAAAATGAGATCAAAGGAAAGAAAGAAAACTTACTTGCATTGGGCATGAAAATACTTGATCAGATTCTGAAGTAAATCCACTCCCTTTTTTATCTTAATTTCATTGACCTTCAGCAGGTACTGTTAAAAACAGAAAAGGAAAGTACCGTCACAGGAAGAAGCAGAACAAGAAGTCCCGAGGGCAGAGTCACCTCTTGTACTCCTCTGACGCCTGTAACAGGAGTGCCACTCACGGGGATGCTTCATCACGTTGCTGAATGCCACCGCTAGAGTGCTGCTCTTACCTGGTGCTACATGAATGATGATGTCAGGTTCGTACATGCTTACGTGCCAAGAACTCCTAGCAAAAGGGCACTTTATCTTAACCTACTAGCCAAGATGTCCCCTCCAGTTGCACAGCAGAATAGGATTAATTGGAATGACTGGGATGGAGAAAGAGCGGCTAGGAGAGGAATGGGGCAGGCTGACAGCTGCTAGGTCTCCTGAACATTCTAGAGCAGTGGTTCTCAACCTTGCTCTTGCTGCGAACCTCTAATAAGTTCCTCATGTGGTGGGGACCCCTAACCCTAACATTATGTTCATTGCTACTGTTATGAATCGTCATGTAAATATCTGATATGCAGGATGTATTTTCATTGCTACAAATTGAACATAAAGAAAGCATAGGGATAAATCACAAAAACAATATGGAATCATATATTGTGAAATATTTATTTCTAATGACAAATTAATGAAATTTTGTCTTGAAGCATGGTGTGGCATGGGTAATAGTCTTTACACCAGGTACTCATATGTGGGCATATCTGCATGTGGGCGGACCCGCCTGGAGACGGATAGAGGAGTAGTGTCTAGGTTTCTAAGGCCAATGGAAATGTTTTCCAATGGTCTTAGGCAACCCCTGTGAGAGACCCACAGGTTGAGCACCACTGTTCTGAATATTCCCATTCGCACACTTCGGCCCCTGTTATCCTTTCTTTCAGCAAGACACCGTCTAGAACATGAACTGCCAATCCTCTGTGGTTGAGGCTCTGCCACCAGGTCTCTAAGACAGGCAGGTAAATCTCTCATCTCTACATGCCTTTTAAAGCAAAGGTGCTAAAGCTGAATTTTGCGTTGCAATGAATGAGAATGATTTTTACTTGGATAATTCATTGATGAAGCATCAGGAAGCCTTGGGGAATTTACAGAACCAGCATGTGAGCACCCTTACCCAGCCCGGTGGTTAGCGCTCAGCTGCTGACTGAGGCAGAACAGAAGTCTGCTTCCGTCTGGTGTCCATTCCAGCCTTGGGAATTCTGAGGCTTCCCAGGAAGCCCTGTACTCTCCCACATCAATACAAGTCTAATCCAGCTCAGTGGCACAGGGTCTGTGCCCTCTGACCGTACTTACAGGAACTCGCTCTACGGAAGTAATTGTGCAGGTGTACCAGAAGGGACCGAACAGAAACTGCACTGCAGTCCTGCTTACAAAGCTGGGGAAGGGCAATGGTCCACAAGTAATGTACGTGTGTGAGAGTCTGTGTGTAAGAAAGAGAGAGACACACACATACACACACACACACTCTCTCTGGAGCACGCCCTAACAATGTAAGAACATGGTACCTTAAAAACAATGGATCAGAGGTGCTCGGACCATGTAAGATGCCTACGTCATCCCAGTGAGGAAACCTCTAGAAAACATCTGTAGAGAATGATCCTTTTTGTGCCCATCATTTTTATATACGTATGTACACACGGGGACATGGCCAAGGTGTTCAGCAGAAATTTAAGGTGGCTTTAAATTTTGTTTTCATATTTTTTGGCATTGATTTTCTCCAACAAAAACTGGAGTCATAGCCACTTCTGTAAGCCTTCAAACAGCAAGGAGGGCGTCACAGGCCTGGCAAAGCCGACGGGAGGAAAGAGGAAGGCCCTTAGGGACACAGTGGCTGCCACCCGGGCTCCCAGCTAAGAACAATTGTGAGGGTGCCGGCCGGCGGTGCTTTGTTCTGTGGGCCCTGGGTCACTGGGTCGGAACTGACTCCAGGGCTCCAAACAACAGCCGCCGCGGCAACAACAAAAAGCAAGCCAGGCCCTCTCCTCCCTTCTCCGTCCGCTCAGCGGAGACTGTGCACCCTGCTCAGCACGAGGGCTCACACTGAGAAGGAAAGCCTGGAAACTGCTGCGAGACCAGACCTGGGACGCGTTTCAGCCCCAACACGGCAGCAAGCATTTGCCAAACCTCAAAACAGCAGTTTGAGGGGCAGGTGAAGCAACTTTAAATGGACTTTACCTGATCCCATCTAGTTCTCTTTCAGATGTTATACAAGGAAGCTCCCAAAATGCCTAAACTTGTATTTCTTCTGCAAACTTCTCGAAGCCCCTTCTATTCTCAGGCAACTGCTTTTCTTCCTTGTGGGAAACCCTTTACAGCTCCTATCTGCTTGGCTAACTTCTCTGTCCTTCACAGTGGCCTACACCACAAGCGGCCGGTAACCACAGGCCAGCCGCTGGTACCCAATAGGAGCTCCACAGGAGAAAGACGAGGCGGTCTACTCCTGTCAAGATTCAAGTTTTGGATATCCATAGTTCTACTATGTCCTAGACCCAGCGGTTCTCAACCTGTGGGTCGCGACCCCTTTGGGGGGTATCGAACAACCCTTTCACATGGTCGCCCAATTCATAACAGTAGCAAAATTACAGTGATGAAGTAGCAACGAAATTAATTTTACGGTTGGGGTCACCACCACATGTGGAACCGTATGCAAGGGCCGCAGTGAGAGGAAGCTGAGAACCGCTGTCCTTGCGGCTGCTCTGAGTCGGAGTGAGAGGAAGGTGAGAACCGCTGTCCTTGCGGCTGCTCTGAGTCGGAACCGACACAACGGCAGTGACTTTTTGGAGCTGCAGTCTGCAGGACAACTTGGCATCGATGCCCCTTCCCTGGTGCCCCAGCCAACTCCCAGTGAAGCACCTCCGCTTCCCCTGCCATTATCTGTGTGCCCATCTGAGTTCTCCCTAGAGCCAGCTCTGCAGAGGCAGGGACCCTGCTGAAGAGGTTGCAGACTGGGGACCCTACCATCACCTGGTGATTGGCTCAAGGGCATCGCTACAGGATGTTTGTAACAACATACACTCTTTTAGCGGCCCACACAGTCCATTCACCTCCGCCCAGAAAAGGCAAAGAAACCAGCGGGATGCAATGGCAGCACTGGGGGGTGGGGCTCCGTGGTCCTCACTTCCAGACTCTGCTGACAGCATACTGGTTGCACTTCCAAATTCGGTCACATTTTAAACAAGCAGTCTTGCAGAGTTTTGGGTAAATGGGGTTCTTACTGGCCAAGCGGAGAGCACAGGCTAAATAGATAGACTACGCTTCTCAAATTCATTATGTGCAAAACACATTTGATGTCACTTTGACCCCATTAGATAAAAACAGCATCTTGTGCTTGAATCAGGCACCAAGACAGAGGTAAGTCTCCAAAACAAAGTAAAATGGAGCTGGCAGGTATATGGCATCTGTTCCAAAGACGGTGTGTATAAAAATACCCATCCTCCGATCTATAGTAATACATTTGAGTTTGGTTGATTTTCTATATATGAGAGTAAGTAAAAAAATCATTGCTACTAGGTGTCCAGTTCATTAAGGCATCGCTGAGTCCAAACAAAAGCTGTTTGAGCCTGTCTCTGCCCTCGGTGGGCAGCTGAAGACCTATTCTCCCTGTCAACGCTTGCTCAGGCTCGGAGGGGTCTTACAAGAAAAGGTCTAATCAAAACAGGGGCTGCCAAGGGGATCTGCAGGACCAGTGAAAGTCAAGGCAGAGGTCAGCTCAGAAGGTTCGAGCAACTGTTCCCTTGGGATCTCAAAGGGGTCAACTTGATAGGGTTTCCTTAGGCCACCACCGGGCACTCACAAGAACTCTCCGTGAAGACCTTAAGGAAATCGGAAGCTGCTTTGGTGAGAAAAGGCCAGCAGAGTAATGCTGAGGATTTTCCCCATCACAATAGCAGACCTGCTCGTTCTTTAAGGGCAGCACAGCTCATCCTAAGAGAGTTTCACTGGGAAACCTTATCCCATCTCGCCTCTTCAGACTTCTTTTTGCTCCTCCAAACTCACAGAGCACTTACAAGGCACGTGATCGGACGTGGCGTGATTGCAGGATTCCTTGGGGGAACGGTTAGGGACATGGAAACACTGCCTTCAGAATGTAAAGGCCTAAATCAGGGGTCCGCAAACTTGTTAAACAGGGGGCCAGTTCATTGTCCCTGAGACCAGTTGGAGGGCCGGGCTATAGTTTAAAGAAAAAAACTATGAACAAATTCCTATGCACACTGCACATATCTTATTCTGAAGTAAAAAAACAAAAGGGGATAAAACACCTGGCGGGCCGGATAAATGTCCGTGGCGGGCCGTAGTTTGAGGACCCCTGGCCTAGAGAGAAGACACTGAGAAACGACAGCTTCCCGTTTTGGTATTCTGTCTACTAAAGGTTTCTGTGGTGTTGGAGCACTAAGACTCCTCGGCACTTAACTCAAAGCACATGCAGAGTAGCGAAACAAAGGCAAAAGTCAAAAAACAGCAAGACAGGAGATGTAAACCCAACCACATCGGTAGCAACATTAAATATGACTAGCTCAAACAATCTAATCAAGAGGTAGACATACTGGATTAACAAACCAACCAACACAACACGATCCCACTCTGCAGCTTCCAGAAGACACACGCTAGATTCCAAGATACAATGAAAGTAAAAGGATGAGAAGTTGTTCATTGAGCCAACAGTGAAGCTGGGGTGACTGCACTAAAATCAGACAAAATAAGGCTTTAAATTTTCCTGAGCCCAACCCTGTACCCTGGGGCAGACTCTCTTCCTCTGGCCACCTAGGAGGTTTTTGTTTGAACACTAACTCTATCCCTAACACATGTGTTTATAAAGGCTCAGCTCCCGTTGCAGTGTACGAGCAGGTAAGCAGAGATTCCAGAACCAAGAGCACTGCCCTGTGCATTCGCTTTGCTGCTGGTCCCTCAGAGGGAACCCTGAGCTGGGTGAAGCCAGTTTCAGCACCCGTGGTTGTCACCTATTCTGGTGTCAATGTAAGGATTAAGAGTGTAGGGGTGGAGTCTAGGATGTCAATCTGGAGATAGCCAATGAAATTTCTGGGGGCATGGTCTTCTCCTGAGGATTCTGGGAAATCTGGTACTTCCTCCTTGGAGGTGGAAGACACCTCTCTCTCTCTGATACTCCCTGGGAGGCATTGCAGAAGACAAGCCACATGGACCCAAGCAGACCTCAGAAGCCGGAGAAGCCACAGAGAGACCCCTGCCAGCACTGAGATGCTTACAACACCACTGGACCCAAAGGCTTTCTACCCACTGGCTTGTGATCATCCTGCATTTGGCTTCATTGCATGTGTTTCCTGAGTCTGAAGAGGACTTTATAGATTGGTATGGGGCATATTGGCTAATGTCGGACTTATGGACTTGATCTGGACTGGGCTGGGATGTTTCCATAATGCTCAATTCCTCTTGTATATAATCTCTTTCTTGTACACGTGTGGCCATGGTTTGTTGCTCTAGTCTACCGAGACTCACACAGCATCTGTCACAAAAACGAAGTTTTGCACATTAAAAACTAAGTTTGCATTGCAGAGAGAGGGAACACACCTTCCATCAAGGGAAGGTGCTTCTTTTCTGGCTTCACAAACAGATCCCAGCACCCCCACCCCACTCCCCAGGCAATGTCAAAGCTGGGAGCAGAGGCATTCATGATTTGGATCATCTCTGCTAATTTTCTATGACTGTGGCAGAAATAGGTTCTGTGAGGGTTGTCTGCAAAGCAGAGGAAGCACCCAGGGGTACTTGGGCTTTTGACCTTGACAGTAACCCCCACAACTGAGCAGATGAAATCTGGGTGGGGACATTTCCAAAAGACAGGTGGTGCTTCCCATGATGAGACCTCACACAAACAGAGAGAACCACGCGGACTGGAGTCTCTTGGGCTGGGTTTTCCGCTGCTGGCTTCACTCCCGTCCCCAGCCCCAGCTCAAATCGCCTTCGGGCTGAGTCCTTACGCTCCAGTGAGTGGAGGAAGGCTGAAAAGTGGCAAAATGGAATTAGAATGAAATTTCCCCATAAGCACTTTGAAGAGCCCTCACCTGTGCTCTTCAGAAAAGCTGCTCCTGATGTCTTTGTTGCTCTATTTTTAATAATAATAGTAATAACCCTCAATGTTAGGCTCACCTAATCCCCTTCTCCACAAGAGTGACTCCCTGAGTAAACACAGTGTTGGTGTGGGAGACAAGTCAAGGTCAGAAGACAAGCGCTCACTGCCGCTTACCTTCCATCACCCCGGCCGCACTCCGTGCAGGGGACAGCAGCTGGCAGCAGCCCTGCCACCTGGGCGCCTTCGGCCTCTTACCTCGCACATCTGCAGCTGGAAGAAGCGCCGCTCCTTCTCCATCTCCTCGGCAATCTCGGCCCCGCTGACTTCCGTGCGGATCATCCCGTGCAGCTTGGCGTGCTCCTTTTTCTCCTTCTCTACTTTGGTTCTAAGCGTGAAGAGAGCACAGATCAATCAAGATCTCGGCACAGTGCTGCGGACCGGCCGGCTCAGGAGCCGTCCTGCAGTCCATCTGCTGCGATACATGCTCCCCCCCTGCATGTTGAGGCATTTTGAGGCAGGGCAGCCTTTTAAGAAAACCATATCGTCATAAACTCAGAAACACTGGTCTTTCTACTACTTCCAACAAAACACTTCCCCAGCGCTGTATCTGTGCCAATGTCTTAGCCAGCCGTGTTCCCGGGGCCAGAGGAGGCAGTGGGCCTTAATGAGTGCTTTCAGCAATAACGTTTTATGAGTCTGTCTGCCCTTTGAACAGTCTGAAGGGAATTGGCTGGCCAGTCACTGTCCCCTTACTAATTCCCTCCCTCCTCATCCTTGTCCCCTATTCTCCTTTCTGCCTTTCCTCCCTGGCCCTCCTCGCACTGGGAAGCTGTGCCTGGACCCAGGACAGTCCCCATCACGGGGGGGACACAGCAGCCCCCTGCCTTGTTTGAACGCCATTTCCCACTTCGAACCACGGGAGTAAGTCGACAATTCAGGGTCGATAGTGATCAAAGCATGAAAATGCCAAGAAAAAGACCCACAAAATCTTGAGTGATAACAAGGGGCGTAGCGACCCAGCATGTTTGTTCTGGAGACGAGAGGGCTCAGCCAAACAACAGAACACACACGCACACAAGGGCTGCCCTTGAGAAGGGGAGTTGACCTTTCTGCGGGGCCTCCAGGCAGACCCGAGCAGACCCAAGGCAGTGTGTTCCTAAAAGTTGTTCAACGTTCCAGAGGCTTCTCTTTCATGGGGAGGGGATGTTTACAGAGGCAAGAAATGCCGTTTCGAAGGACTGTTTCTTTAGCTTGGAGCACAGTGCTGGGCAGAGTGGGTTCTCAGCGATCATAACGAGCAAGTGAGCAAACTGCAAAGGAGCAGCCGGCCATCTGGTAGGGGTGTTAGTAAAGGATTCACGCATCAGGAGGATGGAGGGCCAGTGAGATCCTGGGGAATGTAACTATCTAACTTCAAGGTTCCCCTGGCCCCATCTCACAGGGACCCAGTCCAGACCGGGGTAATCCCCTTAATAATCAGGTATGGCACCGTGGGGCAGGGATTTTAAAGGCGTCTTGAGCATTAGTTATGTACACGGGCCTCTTGGGATACAGGAATCTCACACATTCATGGATGAAAAACTACTCCCTTTATTTACGCTAGAGTCACTCCACGTTTTAAAGTGGGGTGCTCCCCCACTCTTGAACTCTGGGACTTTGCAAGTATATCTTCCTTGGCCCTATGTGTCTCGTCTTACAGAACTGGATCTCATTCCTGATTCCGCACTTTACCCAGATCTACATGGGACCTTTACGGGCAATCTCCTTCCGTGAGCTCTAAGCCTGGGGTACAGCGGTGCACAGTCACTCGCCCGGGGCCCTTGGGGTAGTGCTGGTCAGGAAACCACTTCCTAGCTCTAGGTCAGTTCTTCCTGTAAGGTAGTCGAGAGGCACCAAAAACCAAATCAGTCGAATTAGAACAAACAGGCTTTGTTAGGGAGAAAAACTCCAGCCTGGGCGAAGTCCCACAGTCCACAACGTCCGGGCTAGGGGAGTCGCACTGCAGGCTGCAGGCCTGCTGCTTATATGGACAGGTATCTCCGGATTTCTGGAATGTAAGGTGTCTTCCTGGTTCCCGGTGTATTTGTGCTGGGTGCAGAATGGTGGGCAAGAACAAAGCAGGCACTGAGTCAAACGGGTCGTGCTGGGTGCAGAGTGGAGGGTCGAGAGCAAAGTGGGCACTGAGCCAAACAGGCCATGCCGGTGCCGGGTGCAGAGCGGCGGGTCAAGAACAAAGCGGGCCATTAGCCAGCTCTGGTCAGCTCCACAGGTGTGTGTGGGAGATTCAAGGCCACTTGCTGCTAGTTGTTTCAGCTAGCTCTGGTCAGCTCTGCATGGGTGGGGGAGACTCAAGGTCACTTGTTGCTAGAAGCCAGCCTGGTATTGATCCGGCCATACACTTCCCTGCTTCTTGGCCAGGAGCAAATCACCGTGTACTGGTTTCCCACCTATCAGTGGTGACCATGCTCCTACTAGATCAAGGAAGGTAAAGGTGGAGAGGTAGTAGGTTCTGCCCCTCTCTCGGCTGGACGACCTTCAAGCTGCTCTGGTGTAACACTGCCTGTGATAGAACACGAATGTAGACCGCTAAAGAAGTTCCAGAACTCAGGAAAACAAGTACCTTCAAGTGTGGAAACTTAAGATTTCATGAATGGAAGGATTATCAAAGGTTTGGTATTACACTTGGTTTGATCCTTGAGATCCTTCACAACTAAAACTGCGATTCAAGCTGGTTATGGGGGGTGTCCCTAACAGGTAACTACTTCTATTTACAAATGAAATGACTCCCTCAACAGCTCTCATTCTGCCAACTGGCTTCCGAAAAGAGTTCCTATTTCAGACACTCCCGCCCCACTCAGGAAGCTCTACACGATCAGCCTGTGCACAGTGAGTATTAAGTAAACACGAGGCATGTAGAAATACACTTCTTCTCAAGTATTTAAAATGAATGGAAACCAGGGCTTCCACGGATGCAAGCTCCATTCTCAGAACACGAAACAACGACAAGCAGAAATGTGAGAAACACCATGCAGACTCAGCAGCCGCAGCCATGTCTTCAGTGGGCACGCCGGTCCGTGTCCATGGATCAACTAACCCATTCTTTCCGTTCTCTTCCAGCAGATGGAGCAATCGAGTCCGAATGAAGGAGACTAGGGCTCCAACAATCGCCCTCTTCTCTCCTAAAGCCCAGGGGCCCCACATTGCAGAGAAGCACAGACACAACGCTCAAAGATGGCTTTCACCTAGCATCAGAAGGTACCGGCCAAAAACCATGCTGCTGCCCCAAACAGGGACAAGCTAAGGGACGTACTTAACAAAGGAAAGAAGGAAAGCTACGCCTTATGGGAGAAACTGGCCTGAGCTTTCTTTGGCCACTTTTCCCGAAAAAAACATTCTCTCCTTACTCTGAGCTAATGGAGACAGACAAGGGAAGGCTGTTTGGGGTCAGTGAGGTAACGCATCTGGTGGATGGCTGGCTCTCGGAGCATTCGGCACCAGCACAGCAGCATGCCTGTTGATAAATACTCTCTTGGATTGTGGGTTACTTAGACACTATCTAAAAGAAATAAATAAAAGCTGGATCAAAAACTGAGATTGTAAATGATCTATATTCATTTTTAAAAAATGAAAGTACTCACATTTTTGTTTCATAATCTTTCCAAGCTTTATCAAAAGGTTTTTTTAAATCCTGTAAACAGAGAAGTAATAAATTAAACATCACTAGCCTTCTATGCAAGATAAACTTCTTATCCCTGGACTAGTCCTGAGAGCAACATTAATATCTGTAATAAATGACGTTTGCGATCTTTTGAAGAATGAAGAACTTAGCACAGGATTTGGGTCACACTGCTGGTTGGCATTTTCTTTTCTTTCTCTTTCTTTAAATACTTACTATACTCCAAAGGCATATGAAAGTGGAGAACCACACAATGTGTCCACTACCCAGTTACAAAAACGACTCATCTTGTTTTAACTCTCTTCTCTGCCCTTGTTTTAACCCTCTTCTCTACCCTAGGATTATTCTGAAATTAAATCCAGCACACTGTTAACATTTAATGTACAAATATCTCAGTGTATCTATCTTTCTAAAAGAAAGGGGCTCAGACTCGTCCTGCCAACATATAACCCTGATTTGGGTCCAAAAACACGACCCCGAAAGTGGCCACGTCACACCTACACTGCTCTGTCTGGTTCCTAAGATCTCAGACTTTTTGAAAAGGCCCAGCCTGGAAAATCGCTAGAAATGCCAGCCCAAAGATCTCCCCCTGTTTATGTTCCGCCCAACAGGATCCTTTTAGAAGACAACGGCCATGTTCTTTTTCTTGTATTTAATTTCTTTGCTCTCACCTGATCTTATGACAAGCCTAAGCTTCAGAGCCTGGCACAGAAGGCTCTCGAAGAACTGGGCCCACCCCACCTCCTAAGCCTCACCTGCTCCCATGGATTCCTCTCCATATGCACGTCCTCAAGCTATACCCGAAGCCTGACACGCTAGTGTCCACTCCTGCTTCCACACATTTGCTGTGTTTCTCCCTCTACCCAGAATGCCCTCCTCCTGTTCTTTCCCCACTAATTCAGCTGGCACGTCCTTCAGGGGCCCCACTACTCTTCAGTATCTCAGCAGCTCCCTGGGCATTATCTTCTTCTAGTGCACCCGATAAAGGCGCTCAGGGGCTTCTCTTTGGATTGTCCAGGGTGGGCATCCAGACATGGCCAGTCTGAGGCAGCCCTAGGCTGCAATCACATGCAGACCCCGCTAAAGGGCTCAGATGCGATCCCCTTCAGGGCTCCCATCTGTGGGTGCCCATGCGATGCTGAAAAAGCAACATACTGCTAAGCGCATTGCAGCCCCACCCCCCCCCACACCCCGCCCCTTGTCATTGGCAGACTGTGGAGTCACCATTAACAAACTGCAGTGTTTGAGGTAGTAAGCCACTTCCTAAACAAAAAACATCCTTTGGAGGACAGAAAATCGGAGGTCAGTTCATGCCTTCTGGATGCACGTTTTCCCACCAGGAAACTCTTATCTCGGCAAAAATCATTCTTTTGCTGGTGGTAAACCAGTGAGTCATCAGCTCGAAAACCACCCGCAGATGACGAATCCAAGGAAAATGAGACAGCAGAAAGCCCTCCTGCCCATTTGCATAGACTGATAGAGGCTACTTGCCATGGAACGCTAATATGACTGTGATTCTACATTGGATTAAAAGTTCAATGGTAAGGATGTGAAATATCATACCCCCTTGACTCCTTTCAGGTCTCCCTTCAGCAAACTGTCCAAAGGGAAGGAGATGATGTTGTTCATATTCTGAATCTGAAAGGCAAACACACACAGCAAGAATGTTCTTATTCCGTTTCCTTTTCCTTTACAGTCAGGATAGTCAGGGTGCTGGAGAGAACATTTGATAATCATTAACCTTCGCACTTAAAAGCACGCCCTGTACCAGTACGCTGGCAGTCACTCTTAAATTCTTTGAAACAATTTTATCTTCTAGACAACTATATGACTAATGAAAAGTCAAGCTCTGTTTATTTTCCACAATAAAAACAACCTCCCATGACGAAGCAATGATGTTTACTAACGAAAATACAGCCATTTGCCATGAAGAAACACTATTTCCAATGAGTAATAAAAGAATCGCTTTACAGAGACTGGAAGGAAAGAAAACACTCACATCCTACTGTCCATCACTGTTCCACCCAATGTGCTGAAGCAATGTTTTTGGTCAATTTCTCTCCAGTCCAACCCTCCAAAGACACCCTCATGCTCTTCTCCCTGGAACAATCCCCATGAGCTGGGAAACTAAAGGAAATGCAGATCTAGCGGTGCTTCTCTCTTGTGTGAATGCATGGGGAGCAAAGTGAGTGAGAATGAAATAAAGAGTGTGTGTGTGTATGTGGGGAGGGGGGAAGACAGAGATTTAACTGAGAAAGCGAGGCCATGAGTCCTGGTACTCCTACCCTGCTCCTTTAAGAAAGAAGGGAAGAGGCTGGTCCCTACAAATTGTCACCATGGATGAAATAGAGCAGAAGCAGGAGGGATGCTCATCATAGTAATCAAACTCTACTGATAAAGACAGCACTCACGGCTAGCAGGGCACCCCAAACGGCGGTTCACGCGTGAGCAAAACAAAGGTACAAGGATCAGTTAGCACACAGCCTTCAGTATAGATTCTGTGTTCTGAACCCCACATGGTTCCCTCCCCGACTGCAAAATCAGCTTAAGGCCCACTTCTCGATCTTCCACACTCAGACCACCCCTAAAGTCAACACGCGAGGAGCCCTGGGGGCGTGCTTAAAGGACGAGCTGGACTGGCTAACCGTAAGGTCTCTGCAGAAGGATGAGACCATCTGTTCGAGAGATTTAGGGCCTGGGAACTCTATGACTGCTATGAGATTGCTAAGAGTTGGAACTGACTCACGGCAGTGTGTTTGGTTTGGGTTTTTTGAGGGTCATGTGCGATATGTTCCACTTGTTACATGTACTTAGACGACAGGCTAGGACTTTGAAACCCTCTACCTTTGGGGCAGGATAATTACCATGAAATAAAACTCCCCAACCAAACTCCTCACTGCCATCAGGTTGGTTCCGACTCATAGTGGCCCTATAGGGCAAGGCAGGGCTGCCCCCGTGAGTTTCCAGGATGGTAACCTTTTACAGGAGCAGAAAGTCCCGTCTTTCTCCTGTGGAGCTTCTGGTGATTTCAAACAGCTGACCTTGTGGTTAGCAGCCCAACTCAAAGATCACGACACCATCAGAGCTCCTTACTGCCTTGAATAGGAAGGTAAAATATAGGCACACATTTTAAGGCAAAATGGGACATGGATCCAAGTACTATCTTACTCTTGTCATTAGGTGCCTTTGAGTTGAATCTGACCGATAGCAACCATGTGCACAATGGAAACACTACACGGCCCTGTGCCGATCTCATAATCGTTCCTATGCCTGAGCCCATTGATGCGGTCACTCTGTTAATCCATCTCGTCAAGGGAGGGCTGCCTTCCTCTTTACCAAACATGTCCTTCTCCAGGGACTGGTCTCTCCTGACAATAGGTCCAAAGTGTGCAAGACAAAGTCTCGCCATCCTCGCCGCTAAGGAGCTCTGGCCTTACTTCTTCCAAGACAGATGAGTCTGTCCTGTGTGCAGTCCATGGTACTTTCAATATTCTTCTCCGGGACCACAATTCAAACGCAACCATTCTTCTACAGTCTTCCTTATTCAGGGTCTGAGTTTCACATGCAAATGAAGACGATGGAGAACAGCATGGCTTGGGGTCAGGCACACCTTAGTCCTCATAGCACCCTTGCTCTTCAATACTCTAAAGAGGTGCTGTGCAGCTGTAGCAGATTTACTTGATGAAATGAATCTCTAGAAGTCGACTGCTGCTTCCGAGAGCACTGAATGCAGATCAAAGACAGACAAAATCCTTCAATTTTTTTTCTCCACTTATCATGATGTGACCTTTTGGTCCAGTTGTAAGGATTCTGGTCTTCCTCACTGAGTTGTAATCCATACTGAAGGGTATAATCCTTAATCTTCAACAGCAGGTGCTTCAATTCCTCACTTTCAGTAAGCAAGGTTATGTCATCTGCATATTGCGGGTTGTTAATAAGCCTTCCTCCAATCCTGATGCTGCATGCTTCTTCATAGAATCCAGCTTCTCAGGTGACTTGTTCATCGTACAGATTGAACAAGTATGGTGAGAGGATACAACCCTGACACACACCTTTCCTAACTTTAAACCATGCAGTATTCCCTTGTTCTGTTTGCACCACTGCCTCTTGATCCATGTACAAGTTCCGACTGAGCTCAATGAAGTGTTCTCCAATTCCCATTCTTCTTGGTTAATCAGTTTATTATGGTGCACACAGTCAAATGCCTTTGCATAGTCAATGAGACACAAGGAAACATCTTTCTGATATTCTCTGCTTTGAGCCAAGATCCATCTGACATCAGAAATGATATTCCTTGTTCCACGTCCTCTTCTGAATCCAGCCTGAACTTCTAGCAGCTGTAACTGTTGTTGGATGATCTTAAACAAAAATTTACTTGTGTGCGATTATCAATGATATCTTTCTATAGTTTGAGCATTCTGTTGGGTCACCTTTCTTTGAATGAGCACAAATATAGATCCCTCCCAGGTCGCTGTCTCCGAATTTCCTGGCATAGACCAGTGAGTGCTTCCAGTGCTTCTTCAGCTCTCTAAACCATTTTAAACTACTTAAATTTCACGATAAGATTTACTTGGAAAATAATGTTAAGATATACAACAAAGCCCACACGAACAATCAATTCCGCCAAAGAAATGATCGAGCACTGACTGTCCTATCAGGAATGGCTTTAGTGGTAACTTCTGCCCTAGGTGAAACAGCTCAATACTCGTCATGTGCCGGGCCTTTCCCCAAGGTACGATGTAATTAATCCGGTATGACTTGTCAGGAATAGCCCCAAGTCTTTAAATTCTGAAAAGCTCAGTGTAAGGTGCGGTCTGCCGGGTGACGGGAAGGAATGCTGACAAACACAAGACCACACTGATGAGTACCCTAGACAGCGAGCACACCGGGGTTTCCGTGTGAAAACGCACCCGGACAAACAAGGACTGAGGCAGTCTTGGCCGCAGGGCCTCACCTCAGGGCCAACATTCCATCTACTTGCTCAGAACTCAGAACTCCCGGGGCACCCAAGTGTGGCCAAGCCGGTGAGCCACCCACACCCACACCCGTCTTCGCCTCCCCCAGGGCCTGCTCCGTCCTGCGGAGCAGACCTGCCTGCCCTCTGGGTCCTCTCGGACTCCTCTCCCCAGGGGTTCCTCAGGTCAGTGCATTCTACCTCTGTAGGCTCTTCTAGAAGCCCCCTTGCCTTGCTGCTGCAATGGCCCCGCCCCTCCTCACACAGGCCCAGGCGGTCTCCTTTCAGGACTAAGACAGCTGCGTCGCCTGGCTCCTTGCCAGCGGCTGTTTCCCAGCCTGCTGCTCGCACCCCTTCCAAAGCGAGGCCAGGTTTATCTGAGGTTCTCACCTGCCGGACTCGAACACCTGGAGGATCTGGCCCTACCTACAGGAGGCCCATTCATAAGAAACGCTTCTTTTAAAAATCAGTTTTACTAGCATTTAATCCACGTATCACACAATTCAATAGTTCAATCATGACAAGAAGAGTTGTACAATCATCACACTCAATTGTAGAACATGTTGTCCCCTCTCCCCATGGTTAAAATCACTTTTAAATTGAGTTATGTAATCACCATCAGTTCTACTGAGTGCTCCCTCCCTGTTCCCACATAGGTCTGCGTGGGTTCAAACCCCACTCCTGGTACCATAATGTGTTAGTCTAGGTTTGACGAGAGAAACATTCATGGACACTCATATGTGTGTAATAGATAACTTTATATCAGAGTAATTGTATATTTAAGAAAACATCCCAGCCCAGATCAAGTCCTTAAGTCCGATATTAGTCCATATATCCTATACCAGTCTATAATGTCCTCGTCAGACTCACGCAACACAAGCAGTGGTGCCAAATGCAAGAGGATCAAAGGCCAGTGGGTGGAAAGTCTTGTGGATCCAGTGGCGTGGAACCACCTCAGCGCTGGGGTGTCCAGCTCCAGGGCTCTGGTTCCATCAGGGGTCTCCATGTGGCTTGTCAGCAGGAAGGCAAGCAGAGTATCTGTGCGTATCTGGCCTCCAGTCAGCTATTTGCTTCTGTGGCGCCTCCAAATGAGGTCACCAAGCTGCGACCTGATTGACAGGCTAGACTCCACCCCTTCACAAGTTGACACCAGATTATGTAACTACCACACTCCCCAACCCCCTCACCCTACCTATCTACCCCCTGTCCCCCTATCTCCCCTATAAACCCCTGCATCAGTTCTTATCCCTAACTATGCCTCTATTCCTTCTGTGCTTCGAAAACTGGAAAACTCAACAGAAACAGTACGGAACAGAAAGAAAAAGTGGTTAAACATAAAATAACAACAATACGGAGATAAAAATAGTTGGTAAGAAAGAAAAAGTCACCATGAGCATCTCAAAAGCCAGGGAAGAAACTTTTGCTGTGGACAAGCAGTAATACTTGCACCTAGAAGCACCTTGTGGGAACCTATCTGCCAGTGGCTTCAGCAGGCCGCATGCTCTGCAGATGGGGTTTGGGCTCCCACTGTCGTCCACAGCTTGCTACAAAGTGGGGAAACGCTAATTTCTTATTCCTGCAGGCGAGGCCCTTCACAACCCCAGTCCCTGCCTCCTTTTCCTCTTCACACTCCTCCAAGTTAAAGCGTGGCTGTTTCTAGAGGCTGCGCTCTTGTTCATCATGT